TCCAGGACGTTCCTTCATCTCCACCCTCTTACTTCACCTCACTGCCTTAAGCAAGAAAGAGAAGGATGGGTGGACTGCATATTCTAAGACTATCGGAAAGACTTTGACACAGTTTCTATAAGAGGCTAGTGCATAAACTAGAGAAACAGGCAGGAATAACTGGTAGGGTGCTTCAGTGGATAAGGGAGTACCTAAGCAATAGGAAGCCGAGAGTTACAGTAGGTGGTGAGACCTCAGACTGGGGTAGACGGTACTGGTAATTCACACAGTGGTCACCCCAAGTGGTTGGGGTGAACCCATAACCACAGAATGGTCATGGGTTCATTAACGCCCACTGGATGGGTGTGGGGCTCACTACCACCCACTGGATGGGTATGGGCTCACTACCACCCACTGGATGGGTATGAGGTTTACTACTGCCCACTGGATGGGTATGGGGCTCACTACCACCCACTGGATGGGTATGGGGCTCACTACCGCCCACTGGATGGGTATGGGGTTTACTATCATCCCACAAGATAGGTATGATGGTACACTACCGCCCAGAGGATGATTATATGGTCCACTACCGCCCACAGAACGGTATAGAATTCATTACTGCCCACAGGATGGGCATGGGATCCATTACTGCCCACATGATGGGCATGGGATCCTTTACTGCCCACAGGATGGGCATGGGATCCATTACTGCCCACATGATGGGCATGGGATCCATTACTGCCCACAGGATGGGCATGGGATCCATTACTGCCCACAGGATGGACATGGGATCCATTACTGCCCACATGATGGGCATGGGATCCATTACTGCCCACAGGATGGGCATGGGATCCATTACTGCCCACAGGATGGGCATGGGATCCATTACTGCCCACAGGATGGGCATGGGATCCATTACTGCCCACAGGATGGGCATGGGATCCATTACTGCCCACAGGATGGGCATGGGATCCATTACTGCCCACATGATGGGCATGGGATCCATTACTGCCCACAGGATGGGCATGGGATCCATTACTGCCCACAGGATGGGCATGGGATCCATTACTGCCCACAGGATGGGCATGGGATCCATTACTGCCCACAGGATGGGCATGGGATCCATTACTGCCCACAGGATGGGCATGGGATCCATTACTGCACACAGGATGGGCATGGGATCCATTACTGCCCACAGGATGGGCATGGGATCCATTACTGCCCACAGGATGGGCATGGGATCCATTACTGCCCACAGGATGGGCATGGGATCCATTACTGCCCACAGGATGGGCATGGGATCCATTACTGCCCACCGGATGGGCATGGGATCCATTACTGCCCACAGGATGGGCATGGGATCCATTACTGCCCAAAGGATGGACACAGGGTCCACTACCTACACTATTAGAGTTTAACCCAAACAAATTGAATGTAATGAAGATAGGTTTAAGGAGCAGAAGGCTAGATATCATTTGGTATTATCAAATGATATCAGAAGGTATCATTTGGGAGATAAAATTTTTTAAGAATCAGAGAGATAGAAAGACCTGGGGGTTTGATATCTCGCCTGACCTGTCCCCGGAAACCCAAATCAAGAAGATAACATCAGGGGCATATGCCAGGTTATCCAACATAAGAATGGCGCTTCGAAACTTGAGTATGAAATCATTCAGAATTTTGTATACCACATATGTCAGACCAATCCTGGAGAATGCAGCTCTAGCATGGAGTCCATATCTAATCAAGCATAAGACTAAATTGGACCAGGTATAAATGCTTGCCATCAGACTAGTACCTGAAGTAAGGGGTATGATCTTTGATGAGAGACTATGGGAATTAAACCTCACGTCGCTGGAAGACGAAGAGGGAAGAAGAGTTAGAGGGAACATGATCACCACACACAATATTCTCAAAGAAATTGATTGGGGTAGATAAGGAGAGTCTATTTAACACAAGGGGTACATGTACTAGGGGACATATGTGGTAATTGAGTGCCGAAATGAGCCATAGAGATATTAGAATTTTTTTGTTAGTGTCACAGTAGTTGACAAATGGAATGCATCAGGAAGTGATATGGTGGAGGCTGACTACAAACACAGTTTCAAGTGTAGATATGATAGAGCCCAATAGGCTCAGGAACCTGTACACCCGTTGATTGACACTTAAGTGGCAGGATCAAAGAGCCAGAGCTCAACCCCCGCAAGCACAAGTGGTTGAACTGCGAACGTCTGGCACAAGTCATATCAGGTGCCTCGAAGTTGACTGTGATTTATCAACAAAATTAACTCAAGAATCAGCAGAAGTGTTCTATTTTTATGGTATAGCAGTATGATATAATTCACAGTCAATGTATTCTTAGTGTAGACAACTGTTTTACAAATCACAGACACATAGACACAATCACACAGGCATATAGAGGCACAGAGACACATACACACACACACACAGACATATGCAGCATTCCCTATGGGGCTCATCTTGCAACCTTTGCTATGGCTACTTGGGAAGCTCAATGTTGCGTTGTTTGGCAAAGGAAAGCCTAACAATCTGGGTATTATTGAGTGAGCAAATATCCTGTTAAATGATCCGTAAAACGATTAACACTACCACAACTCAGGGCGAATGTTTGATAACATATTTTGAGGTTAAGCCTAACAGAAAATAATGAACCTAGTAAAATAAATGGCCAATGTAAATGCCTATGTAACATTATTGATTGAAAAATAGCATTATGTTCGCCTATTTGGTGGTAAATCTGTATTAAACAAGCACTACAATTCCTGCGTGAATATTATATGCTCAGGGTAGGGAAGAGCATATGTGCCCATTGAAGGCACCATCACTTCCTCCAAGCTCTCAACACATGTGTCAGCACTGAAGTATCTCTGAATATCAGTAAGTTCTCATACACCGTATAACTGAATTCACCTCAATATATTCCAAGATATATAACACTACTAGTGATTTTATATTTAAAGTGCTGTTCATATCGTTTGTTGTTGGGACGCCAGCAGCGTAATCTGCCGTGAGTCGCTGATGTGAAGGTCTTCTCATCACTGAAGATTATACGGCCTATTAATCGAGATCTTCATTGACATATCTTCTGGCAAAAGCCAATCTTCCTTCTTTATGTTGCTCTAGAAGATTACCTTTTGATGGATGTAGGCTTAATGAAGTCAGTTTCAGACTGTGCGTCCCAGCCGTCCTCCAAAAATGGGGAGGTAAATGTAACAGCACAAATAAGTGCAATATGTACTATTCATATAAATCAGGAATTGTATTTATTTTCACTTAGTATTAAATCGTACTATCAAATACATTGTGAATGTTTGAGTTTACCTAAAAAGCTGAATAGAAAACCACGACCTCACCTAATCGTCTTAGTGTTTGAAGATAAGCATTTTATTGCTTCTTCTAGGTTATCTTGAGATGATTTCGGGGCTTTTTAGTGTCCCCGCGGCCCGGTCCTCGACCAGGCCTCCACCCCCAGGAAGCAACCCATGACAGCTGACTAACACCCAGGTACCTATTTTACTGCTAGGTAACAGGGGCATAAGGTGAAAGAAACTCTGCCCATTGTTTCTCGCCGGCGCCTGGGATCGAACCCAGGATCACAGGATCACAAGTCCAGGCGCCACTCCAGGCGCCGCACAGGGCACCGCAGAGGGCTTCGTACTGGCCTGTGCACGAGGCTTCTCACGGGGCTGCACAATGGGGGGGGGGAGGACCTGCAGAGGACACAGACACGTCAGGGCTCTCGCCACCGGGCACAGGAGCAGAAGCACCCTGGCGCACATCCTTCCTTAAGACCACGACGAGGTCCCACTCGGCAGGAGCAACCTCCCACCATGAGGAGCCAACAGTAGTAGGTGTTAGGGGCGACTCAGGAGGTAGCACAGCACCGCCAACCTCTGCCAGATCAAAGATCAAGCCAGATCAAAGCCAGAAGCCAGATCAAAGTACTCTCCTACCTACACCCAAGGCACACCACGAAGGGGAGATGTACTCGAGACCTGCCTCAAGCACTTGGAGACAGGCTGCCGGTCATCTAAGCAGTCACCCTCATCATCCCATAACACAGCAGAACTCTCTGACGGGCACGCCTTCCATGCCTGGCCCCTGAGAACCACAGCCTCCACGGCCGGGGGCATCGGACCACACACCACAGGAGATAACTCGCCTCGGACATCCTAGGGGACAGAAGACGCTGCATGCAGGGATGGAGCAGGCAGGGGCGGCCGAGACGGGACGGGCTGGAGTGGCAGGGGCAGGGACGTTGAAAGCGGGGAAGCTGGCAGTGGGGGCGGGGCCGCCCCACGTCAATATCCACACCACCAGCCAACACCGGGGCAGAAGCCGGCAGGGAATCATCACACAGTCCAGCATTTGGAGACAGGTCCGGGGCCGACAGCGGGGAAAAATCCTCCTCCTGGAAGAGGTTAACAGGTGTGACCCGGCACTCCTTACATCCCGCGGTCAGGTGACCCGGTAGGCCGCACCTGAAACATGTCCGAGGTTGTCCCGCGTGAAAAACACGAATTGGGAACCCCAACAGCATGATGGAGGACGGTACAGGATCCCTGAGGCGCATGGCGAGAGTGCAGGTCCCACACGGGACCCCCCTTCCATCTTCCGGTAGGGATGACATTCATCCTTACATGTAGGACCTACCCAAACCGGGCAAAGTATCGACGTAGAAGATCCTCAGGGAACTCAAAAAGCATCCCATGCACTGCCACATTCGTCGGGGTTCCACAACGGTCAGAGAGGGTCACCGACCCACCATCTCCAGGAGTAAATGAGCGCCCATCATAGCGCGTGACGAGATCTTGGTATATCAATAGGGAGCCGAACTTGACAATCGCCCGCCGTCCGGCAAGCAGCTGCATCCCACACACAGACTCCACAGGGACACTGAGCATATCAATCAACACCACCTCCACCGCGTGATAGAAAGTAATCCCAGAGAACTCCAGGCCAATGGAGGCCTGTCTGGTGACAGGGGGCACGGGCCCCTCATGATTGCAGACGGTCACGGTCCCAGGGGTCCCTCAGCAGAAACACGGGACACAAGCCACGCCAGAAGCAACACTCAGGTTCTCACTCCTCACAGGTTGACAACAACTGCAGTGGCTGGACGGAAGAACCGTACCCCACGACTGCCAGAGCAATTCTCTAGTAAATGTGAGTGATTGTAACCGTCCCACCCTGGTCCAATGGTTAAGGGGAGGTGTACAAGATAGACATATAAATTATGACACTAGCTCTTCTCATATATCAGTTGTTTAATTTGGAAACTAATTGTGGTCGGTCTCAGGCCCATTTGTTGATGTGAAGATTGCATTTTCTATCTAGCTCATCAAGACTGTAACTTACTTAACTAAATCAGTTTGGAGTTGAGTCCCTGAACCCATTATATGACTCAGTATCCAATTCCACTACCGCCCACAGGTTGGGTATGAGGTGCCTAATAAATGAACAAAACTAACTGTGTTGTTGATTGTCAACTATGATCATGGTAGCGTTTCGTGTGACGTTACGTCGTCTCTTTCTCACCAGCCAAATGCCAATCCATAAAATTATTATATGTATATCGTTTACAGAAAAGGTTTGTAAACTTTTAAACACAAAAGTAGAGCCATCTCCCTTTTCAATAATCTACATATATTCATTTATATCCACCGCTCTACACTATATTCCTTTCGATAGAAGTGTGAATTATATAAACCGGTGTGTGGTGTTTAGACCAATGAGAAGCGTCGTTATAAAGCCGCTATTCATTGATAATCTAATACATGACTACAACAACAACCAAGGTCGACTTCTAGCGGCCGTGGAGTGAGGACGTTTACCGACCCTCCGTTGCTGTTGGAGTTGTTTGCTGTTTTGGTCACCAGGTGGTGTGGGCGTCCCTGCCCTACCAGTTTTGTTGCCTGCCTGGCTGCGTTGACGTGGCAGTTCTGACATGAGGGGCCATCTTCCTCCTGTTCAGCGTGTGAATTCCGTGGGTCTGGAGTTCACTTGTAAGGCTGGTTATCCGACCATCGAGATGGTGATGTGTGACATGCTTCGTGTCCCGGTGGAAGCTGTTTACGGTGTGGAGTTAGTTACGGCCCATCGGGTTGTTATTAAGTTCGTGGGGGAGGACGAGTACCGGGACTTCCTCCGTCGGGGGGCGTACGTTGCCGTTGCCAGACGATGCCGGCTCTGTGGCGATTTCAGACCGCAGTGGTGCCCTGACTTATGTCAGTATCCATGGTGCGCCCCTGGAATTCCCTGATGACCTCCTCCGGCGTTACTTCGGGGGGTTTGGTACTATTGTCAGCGTGCAGGTGAACACGCTCTCCTCGGGGCGGTATGCTGGGAGGCGTACAAACATTCGCACGTTGGGGATGCGCCTGCGGTCGGATATACCTTCTTCTGTCCGGCTTATGGGATACTACGTGCGGGTGTATTATGCCCGGCAGCCTCGTACCTGTTTCCGGTGTGGCCTGTTGGGGCATCAGGCTGCCGGGTGCTCTGAGGCCCCTGCTGCTCCTGTTAACTTGTTCCGTGACGAGGATTTCCCGCCGCTCTCTCTGGAGGCAGTCTCCGGTGATGTTGATGAGGTGGTGCGCGTCCCGTTTGCTGCTGCAGCTTTCCCGGCAGCGCCTGCCGTTCCTCCGGTTGTTGCCTCCCTCCTCCGGACGTCTGTTGGTCTGGTACCGTCAGTTGGTCTGCCTGATCCTGTCGCTGTTCCAGCTGCTCCCGTTGCCCTTCCTGGAGCCCCCTGTGTGACGTCGCTATCTTCTCCCTCGTCTTCTGATGCTGCGCCTGGCCCTGTGTCCGTGACTCAGGTCCCGGATGTGCTTGGTGCTGGGGTGGCTGTGGAGCCTCCTGCTGTGTGTGGCCCGGTTCCCCCTGTGGTAGAGGCTGCTGCCGTTCTGGCGTCGGTTCCTTCGGCTCGTGGTACCCGTGTTTCTGGGTAACTTACCGGCTCTGACGATATCCGGCCGGTGCCCAAACGTTCCCGGCGTTCTTCTTCTTCCTGGGCCGACGTTGGTGACTTCAGTGACTGCGGGGTTTCGGATGTTGACAGTGTGGATACGGATGCGTCGATGTCTCCGCGGTTCGTGGTGGCAGAGGTCCATGTGCCTGCCGGTGCTGGTGCCTGTGTCTCGGGTGTGCCTTCGGTTCTTTCTCCAACGGGGGACTCTCGACAGTGGGGGGGGGGTGGTGGCTTCCGCTGCCAGGGATGGTGTGGACTCTGGTGCTGGGCATGGCCTGGTGGTGACGTTACGGAAGGATGCGCGCTGTCCGGGTTCCCTGCTGTCGTCTGGTGGTGTGCCCGGGGCTGTGGGTACCCCTGTGGTGCGGGTGCGCGTTGGGGCCCTGGGGGACGTGTTGCCGGCGTCTGTGATGCCGCCGGGTCACTGGTCGAAGATTGCTGAGTTACTGCTGTCTGTCGGACCGCAGTGCTTTCGTGGGGGGCAAGTTCCCTTTCTGTGGGGGCGAGTAGCGACTTCTCGCCTCCTGAGTACTACCATCTGGGTCCCCAGTTTGCAGGTGTTTGTTGCCCCGGTTCCGGATGTTATGGCGTCCCCGGTGGATGTACGGGACCCTTTGCAATGGGTGTTCTGGGAGGCGTTTAATGTACGGTTCCCGCGGGCCAAGTTCCCGGGCAAGTATGTGCTCTGATTTCCTGTGTATTTGCTCTATGACATACTGTGTGTCCTTCTGGCTGTTTGTTTGCCCTGTTCTATTATGTGCTTCTTCCTCTCCCTTTGTGCGTTGCTTTGCCGTGTGGCATATTAGTTTCTAGTGCTTGGCGTCACTCGTTTCGCATTTTGGCTTGGCATTTCGCCTTTCCTGGCTTTGCGATTCATCCTTCACGGGTACGCCGGGGCGCATCCGATCCCACGATCGTCGTCGCCCCTAACTCAACAACAACAACCAACGGGTGTTGCCATTTTGCACTTTCCAAGAAACTTAGGTAAAGGAATATATTTCCTCGACTGTATTTGATGGAGACTCATTCACAAGTACTTACATGCCTTACTCTCCCTAAGGTAGCAATGGTGAAGCAAACCGTAAGGTGACCTGCTTCTCGGCGCTGTTAAATAAGAAGATACTACCACGATTTGCTCGGACATCAATTAAAAAACACAAGAGATGCCAACGCAATAATGGTGCGTTGATTTTTAAGACACTGTTGCTCACTCAGATGGAAAATTGTTGCGCACTAACAGCCCCACTCAAAGCTGCAGAAATTGCTGACCTAGAAAACGTCCAGAGATCTTTAAGTGAGCAAATATATTAAAAAACATGCAAATTATGTGACCGCCTAAAACTGTTCAATCTGTATTCACTTGGCAAGGCGAGAAGGATATCTAATAATTTATATGCGGAAAATATTAGAGGAACTTACTTCTGTGGTGCACAAGAAAATAATTCTTACAAGCCCAGGAGGCATGGCAGGAAGGACAAATCAGCCGCGTTGAACACCAGGTAAGCTGAGAGGCACTTCAGTGAACATCACGATACCAACACTGTTCAACTCTTGCTCTGAACACAACAATATAACTAACCGACCCTCGCAGTGTTCAAAGGAGAACTTGATAAACACCTCCAAAGAATACCTTATCAACCGGGCTGTGACACCTCAAAATGCGAGCAGCAGTATGTAATAGCCTGATTGAGAAGACCATTAGCTAGGATGATCTGTAAGAGACCAAGCCTCAGGAATATTGACTCTAGAAGCCATCACAGGTAGTGACGAGGGAAGGGTCACATTTTATTCTCTGACCTTTCGTCTTGAGTAAATTTTGCAATTTTTTTACATGTTTTATGTTACTTTTTCTATGTTAAAACTGAAAGGTAATGCAGTTTATTGTGCAATTAAGTTTTTATTTGTTATACATTACACTGGCACATATTGACAGGTGTGATAGCTGCGTACGTGCAGCTGGCCCGAGGTACCAAGTACTCCCAATTCCCACGATGGCTGGACAGGTGGCTCAAGGCCAGGAAACACCTGGGACTGCTCATGCTGTTTAATGCTGTCATCCACGTGAGTAGTATAAGTTCTTACCTAGAGCAGGTCGTCATGCTGTGTGCAGGTGGCTCAAGGTCAGGAAACACCTGGGACTGTTCAAGCTGTTTTATACCTGGTGCAGGTCGTCATGCTGTACTCTGCAGGCTTTCTCGCTCCAAACTCCTCACAATAATTTTAAATCATAATAAAAATGATCATTGCAGATAGCTCTCATAGATACGTTATTAAAAAATATATGCTAAGTAGTTAGGATAAATCATTAACTAAAGTTTAGTAGAGAACAACAGTTGTCTTAGAGTGAGAGACTACCAGAAAACTTTCGACAACAACGCTCTTGGTGCAAGAACAGATGGTTGAACGAGAGCAACAGTTTGGTGGTACGAGCAAGTGGCAAAACAACAACAACAAGAGGATTTATTGAATGCAAAAGAAGGATAAAAATGCAAGGAGTATGATGATGAGTTGAATATTTGTGAAGTTTTTAATTTTGAAGATAAAACATTTTGATGAGAAACTTATATAAAAATCTATATAAATAAAAATGGAAATGTTCGTTTGTTCAAAATCGCTAATCTCCGAAAGTTCTTCACCGATTGCTTTGAAATTTTCACACAAAGTTCCATTCGCATCCGTCCAGGTTTATATATACATACTATATAAATGTCACGTCTGTGACGGTAAAAAACCTACTTTTTTCTGTGTTTTCATGTGTTTTTCATGTGAGGCAAATCTTCGAAACCTCTTTACCGATTGCTTTAAAAATACGTTGCATTCGAATAGGCACGTATTTTTATATATCTACTATATGCATGCCTCACCTGTGACAGGAAGAAAACATGCGTTTTTTTGAAAAACAGCGCCATCTGTTGGACGTTAGAGCAACATACGCTGTAATTTCCAAAAGGTCATCACCTATTACTTTCAAATTTTGACACAACGTTGCATTCGAATAGGCGCGTGTAGTAGGAATACATACCTACTATATAGATGCCACCCCTGTGACAGATAAAAACATGCGTTTTTGAAAAACAGCGCCCTCTGTTGCACATAATAGCAACATGCACGCTATACTAAATATGTCACGAATTCCATTTCAATGTTTCTGATTACATTGATAATTTTTTTTTCATAGATTTCGATTTATTATTTTTTTAGTGAATTATTTTGTGTGACATTGTGTTGGAACTGAGCTGTGTTGTTTACCATACCATTCATTTTGTGAGCATAGTTTATTTTTTTATTTTTTCAAATTTTCATTTCATTTTTAACTGTTTTTCATATATTTCAGTGATGGGAACATCAGATCATTTGATGTTCCCAATTTTCAGATGAAAACATTACTAATAGGGTGCAAAATTTTCTGATGGGAACATCAGACCATTTGGGAAGGCATCGGACGAGGGAGTGGGAAATGGTGGGGATGACGAGGGGACAGAAGTGCGAGATGGTGGGGATGACGAGGGGATATGGGAGGGGGATAATGGTGGGGAATTACGAGGGGATGGGGAAGTTTGGGATGGTGGGAGCGAGGGGATGGGAGAATGGAGAAGGATGGGGAGGACAAATGAACAGGGGGAGTGGGGCACGGTGGGAAGGAAGAGGGAATGGTGGAGTGGGGAATGGCGGGGATGACGAGGGGACAGAAGTGAGAGATGGTGAGGAGGACGAGGGGATTAGGGAGGGGATAATGGTCGGGAAGGACGAGGGGATGGGGGAGTTTAGGATGGTGGGAACGAGGGGATGGGAGAATGGAGAAGGATGGGGAGGACGAGGGGACGGTGAAGTGGGGAATGGTTGGGAGGCTGAGGAGACGGGTGAGGGGAGAATGGTGAGGAGGACTGCGGGACAGGAAAGGTTGCTGTGGCTGAATATTGCCTGTACTAAATATGTAACGATTCCATTTCAGTGTTTCCGATTGCATTGAAAAATTTAAATTTCCTCGATTTGGATTTATTTTCAATTTGGTTTCATTATTTTGTGTGACATTGCCTTGGAATTGAGCTGTGTTGTTTACCATACAGTTCACTTCATGAGTATAGTTTATTTTTTAATTTTTAATTTTTTCATTTGGTTTTAACTGTTCTTATTTTTCAGGATAGGAACATCAGATCATTTGATGTTCTCAATTTTCTGAAGGGAATACCAGATCATTTGGGAATGCATCAGACAAGGGAGTGGGGAATGGTGGGGAGGACGAGGGAACAGGAGTAGGGGAATGGTGGGGAGGATAAGGGGACGGGAGTAGGGGATAGTGGGGACAACGAGGGGACAGGGGAGGGGTTAATGGTCGGGAGGACGAGGGGATGGGGAGTGGGAGAATGATGAGGACGGGGGATAGGGAAGTGGAGAATGGTGGGGAGGACGAGGGGACGGTGGAGTGGGGAATGGTTGGGAGGCCGAGGAGACGGGTGAGGGGGGATTGGTGGGGAGGACTGGGGTACAGGGAAGGTTCCTGTGGCTCAGCAATGCACATGCATTGCTGAGCCACAGCAACGCGTGGCCGGGTACTGCTAGAAATCTATATAAATTAAAATGTAAATGTTCGTTTGTTCAAAATCGCTAATCTCCGAAAGTTCTTTACCGATTGCTTTGAACTTTTCACACAACGTTCCATTCTCATCCGAGCGGGTTTATATATACATATTATATAGATGTCACGTCTGTGATGGGAAAAAACATGCTATTTTTGAAAAACTTAATTTTTTCATGTGTTTTTCATGGGAGGGATATCTTCGAAGCCTCTTTACCGATTGCTTTGAAATTTTGACACAACGTTGCATTCGAATAGGCACGTGTTTTTATATACCTCCGATATGCATGCCAGACCTGTGACAGGAAAAATCGTACTTTTTTAAAAAACAGCGCCATCTGTTGGACATAAGAGCAACACACGCTGAAATCTTCATCGATTGCTTTGAAATGTTGATACAATACTCGAATACACGCGTTTTTTTAAATACCGACTATATAGATGCCACACCTGTGACATGTAAAAACATGCTTTGTTCGGAAAACAGCACCATCTGTTGCACGTAATAGCAACTCACGTTATACTAAATATATTACGATTCCATTTCAGTGTTTCCGATTGCATTGATAAATATAATTTTCATAAATTTCGATTTATTTTCATTTTGATTTAATTTATTTTGTGTGACATTGCATTGAAGTTGAGCTGTGTTGTTTTCCATGCCGTTCATTTCCTGAGTATAGTTTATTTTTGTATTTTTTAATATTTTAATTTCATTTTTTATCTGTTTTTCCGTATATTTCAGTGATGATCATTTGATGTTCTAAATTTTCTGATGGGATCATCAGATCGTTTGGGAATGCATCGAACAAGGGAGTGGGAAATGTTGGGGACGACAAGGGGGCGGGAGTGGGGAATTTTGGGGAGGACGAGAGGCCAGAGGAGGGAGTAATGGTGGGGAGGACAAGAAGACGAGGCAGTTGGGGACGAGAGGATAGGGGAATAGAGAATGGTGGGGAGGACAAGGGGACAGAGGAGTGGGGGTTGGTGGAAAAGACGAGGTGACGGATGAGGGGGGAAGGGTAGGGAGGATGAGGGGAATAGGGGAGTGGGAGATTGTTGGGAGGAGGAGTGGACGATGGAGTGGGGAATGGTTAGCAGGACGAACGGACGATGGAGTGGGGAATGTTGGGGAGGACTAGAAGACAGGGGGAAAGGTTGCTGTGGCTCAGCAACACACATGTGTTGCTGAGCCACAGCAACGCGTGGCCGGGTACAGCTAGTGATAAATAAATTCCAGACAACAAGCTGATATTATGGACCATAAACCACATCTTGACTGGTGTACTAGTGAGTATGATAGAGCTCGTAGTGAGTGTGAGGTAGCAGGGTGAGTGTGAGGCAGCTGGAAGTGTTTGCCTCATAGCTGGTAGTGCTGTGAGTGTGAGGCAGCAAGGAGTGCGTGTGAGGCAGCAAGGATTGCGTGTGAGGGAGCTGCAAGTGAGTGTGAGGGAGCTGGTACTCAGTGTGAGGGAGCTGCAAGTGAGTGTGAGGGAGCTGGTACTCAATGTGAGGGAGTTGTGAGGGAGCTGCTAGTGAGAGTGAGGCAGCATGGAGTGCGCATGCCGGTTATGCGAGTGAGTGTGAGGGAGCTCGTAGTGTGTGTGAGGGAGCTGGTACTATGTGTGAGGCAGCAGGTAGTGCGTGTGTCTGTTCCGTCAGTGTGACACACTGACGTCCACTCCCCATCCTCACACAGCTGCTCTCTCAGTGTGATACACCAGCATCCATTTCCCGTCCACACACAGCCGCTCTCTCAGTGTGATGCACTGGCGTCAACTCCCCGTCCTCACTTGGCTTCTCTTTCAGTATGACAAAACAGCGCCAGCTCCCTATCCACACACAAACCGTTCTCGCACTTGCTTATAGTCAATATTGGCTTATTTATTAAGTGCATATGTGACATACTAATTGATTGTGAATATTTTAGTTTACCTTTAAAGCTTCATAGAAAACACCGACCTCACCTAACCTTCTTAGTATGTTAAGACAAGCATCTTATTGCTTCTTAATAACAATTATTACTTTACCTATACCGTTGATAGGTTAAGTAATGGTTTTAAACACTTGTGGTTTATGCAAGTATAGGCTTATAAGCTGGACACGAGTTCTCTCACATTGACAGTGGCTTGATGGAAAATGCAGACTGACCCCACACTCATCTGGTGCCTTCGGGAAGTGGAGATGTTTGGGATATATATCTCGAACTATCTACTTCTTTGTAAGGTCTGATGGTGTAGTGGGTTAAAGCATACTAGTTATGCCAGCTACTGGAAGGTAGTTGTGCTTTCTGGGTTCGAGTCCCACTGGTGGGTGTTGTCCAAAGATTATTAATCTTCACTTGTGGTTTATGCAAGTATAGGCTTATAAGCTGGACACGAGTTCTCTCACATTGACAGTGGCTTGATGGAAAATGCAGACTGACCCCACACTCATCTGGTGCCTTCGGGAAGTGGAGATGTTTGGGATATATATCTCGAACTAT